GTGTTCTATCCCTGTGTGATTCATGCACTTAGGAGCTGGACTCAATGATCCTTGTGTGTGTCTTCCAACTCAGAATATCCTGTGATTCTGTGAATTTGGTTAGATGGCATGGGAACATTCCACTATTTGTGCCTGGTGATGCAAACACCCCAGAAAGCAAAGTACATTGCCAGAGAGGAAGAGCACATTGAGTTCCACTCCTGTTTTTCCTTCTGGTACACATATCTTAATTTTTAATATTCTGTTTGTAACAGTTTTCCACATAGTAATTCTCCATTTCAAAGAAATTGAATAAACGCTCAATATAAAATCATATTTGTAATCCCTGCTATCTGTGATGTCCGATCTCCTGCTGTTTTTTAATATAATAGGTCTAAAAAATTCCCTTATTGTAACTTAAACAGAAAAATTACAAAGTCCTTACTTCAAGTAAGGAAAAAACCTTCAGCAGGTTCATGCACTGGATGTCTCAACACTGCCCCTCTCTGAATTACACCAGTGAAAGCTTTTTCCCCTTAAAATGAACCTGAGTAAATACCTTGGCCAACAGTCAGACCCGCTGCCACATGTGAATTAAATGTAGAGTAGTCTGAGCAAGAGCAGCACTGATGCCAAAGCAGAACCACCCCAAGTGAGCGGCTTTGAGGAGATCGGCTTAGAAAGTTTCCAGTAGAACACCATTCCGACAAAGTGCTGACTTGATGAAACCCAAAATATTCCACAGGAATGTGCTAATTCAATCAAAACTTTTGAAAGAGGACAGGCCGGCTTGCCAGGCCAGCCAACCAGTCTAGTGAGCTGACTGGCTCTCCCCAGCCCTCCAGGGTCACTGGCTGCCCCAGCTGGCCAGGTGCCAGGCTGCTCTCCCTGCCCTCTGAGGGGCCCTCTAATGATAATAAAACTAATGGAGTCTTACAAAGTGTGCTGAGAAACAAGCAAAAGAATTTAAAAATGAAAACCAGAATTATTTCAGAACCAACTGCAGGGTTTCATCAGAGGATATTGGGTATGTTTGTTGCAAAGCATCTAAAGTCACGAGTCTCTCTTGTGTCTCCTCAATTTTTTATAAAACATCTTCCAGTGAAAAAAGCTGTGTCAATAATGCAAAAACACAAAATAAGCAATAATTGTATTCAAACTCTAAACTTTACAAGGCACCTGTAATCATCAGCAAGGAGTTTAAGGTAAGTTGCTTCCAAAGCACTGAGGAAATTTACATAAATGCCTGTACCTGACCAAAACACAGGGCTACAATTTAAGCAACACCTTTCACAGAGCAGATCCTAAGTGGGCTCCCTGCTTGTCACTATGACAAATTTGAACAAGATGGTACAAGAGGCCTCATTTAACACTCTGGAGAAGCTCAAAGGAATTGATCTGGCTACACAATATTTTAGCAGTCTTTAAAAAAAAATAAAAATAAAAAGACCCTATCAACTGGCAAGTAATCCACTTTCTTCAAAAACTGGCTTTTGGCAACCTGTGGTTAACCTGTGCATGGGACCTACTCTGCCGTCTCAACAACTCAGCAAGTAACAGCATTTGCTAATTGCTAGGAAAGGTTTTTAAAGAAAACATCACCAAACACCGTGATGTTTTCTGCACAATACCATTCATTTAACCAGCTTTTGTATAAAAATGCCTAGATATTAGTTCATGTGTGAACACCACAAGTAGTTGAAGGAATGTGGAACAAAGTTCCACAGAAAAAAAGAAAGAGCTCTTTTAAAATGCCTAATTCAGTCAGCAATGAGATCTCTGTTGCAGGCAAGTCACATGATTTTGAAAGAATAAGGCTAATAAAATGTACTGATATATTTATATGAAAATCAGCACAACTTCCAGCATAGAACTGAGACAATTTTGTGACCACTCTTTCAGAAAACACATGTAAATCAGACAGCTGCCCGAGTTTGCAGTTCACTGACCCTTTCAACTGCCAAATGCAATGCACAAAGGTAGCTCAGAAAGCAATTAGAGATTGGCTGGGAGGACTCATTAATTTATTTAAACTTCAAATCACAGCTAAGCAGTCTTGTAACATTTTTCTGGGGGAGACTGTATGCCTCAGACTCATATTCAAAAAGAAAGGTTTGTCTTCTCAGAATGACAAAATATATACAATTTGCTCCCTGGTGTTTCTTAGAAAGAACAACTAATACATTTATAATACCATGAGGAAAGACATTTAGAACAGAACTAGACATAAGCACAGTTCAATCCAACCGTTCAATCTCTAAATATTTCTGTACCTGCAAAGTCTAAGGCTCCCTTCAACTACTTGCAACACAAAACTCAGAGACAAAATAAGGTGAGGAGAAAAAAAGGAAGAAAATAAAAAATATATTTTCCCTTCTAGTGATAATAGGACTGGGAAATATCAGTGACCAACAAGCAAATGATGCCTGGTTGGCTCTATTCTAGTATATATGGCATGAGAAAGTAATGCATAAAGAGATGTCTTCCATTTAGGAAGCAGGTATCAAAAGTTGACAGCAGCATGTTTTCTTCTCTCAAACAAAACTTGAGATGCCCTTGGCCTGTGGCAAAAAGGCCGATTCATCACTGATCTCATGACAAATAGCAAAACAGACAAGAAAAAAATGCATGCATATAGACATTCATATGCAGGTCTGGGCCTGAAATCATGGCAGCATTAAGTTACCAATCTGTTAGTTAATTTTTTTCATTAGCGTCATTAAAGGGACCACAATTATAACACAAGGTAACAACTGAGCCCTGCACAACTCAGAAGCCATATCCTCAACTTCTTCATGCTGCAGTAATTTAAATAGCCAGCTACAGGCTATAATTTCAGACTTAGTCCATGACTCCAGGAGCTAACCAACTGGAGCCACAAGGATCAATGCACACTTCTCTGAACTGTTTATGAAAATGAGACCATACTTCTAAGTATCTCTCTCAAACCAGCCTGCCTAATTTGATAGTTTCCTTATTTCACACTTGCATAACCATTTCCTAGAATCAGTTTCTGAGGCTCACTGTACAGCAGACACACTCCTAAGCCAAGAGGTGACATGCTGCTGTTAACTCATATTGCATTGCCCACAAGCGCTTTTGTCATGCTGCAGATTATCCAGAGTGGCTTCAGCTGCCACTCACAGGTTTTACTTCTGCTCTTTTGTTGACTTAAACTCTGCAAAGGTAACAAAATGGCCCAAAGGAACTCCAACCAGCAGTGTGTAAGCTGAAACAATGCAAGAAGGAAAAAGGAGTCTGAATACGGCACCACTTGATTCAAACATCATAAATGATACCGAGAGGTTACAGTATGTAATTGTCATATCTTCAAACAAAAGTTGGTCAGCCAAGTGCACTCATATGGACATGTAGGAAGCAGCAGGGGAAAAGGATTTCAGTCAGTCAAATTTGTGCACACCCCATCAGATGGATTAGTGCCAGAGCTTGTTCTCTGCCAGTCTGCCTCCCCTGCTCCACCCTAACTGATCCCAAGTGCATTTTCCTGCCCTGACTGGGGTGACTAGCGTGCTTCTCCTCTCTCCAATGTCCAACATCCCTCAGTACACACCTTATCTTGGAAAATGCTCAGACCCGAATTTAAGAAGGAAAAATAAAGAGAAAAAAAGCCCTCTTTGTTAGATGAAGTCAACCTTCTCAAATATATGTGTGGTAACACCAGGAAGAAAAAAGAAATATTTACTTTTCCTAAGTACTGTGCTTTCAAATGGATTTCACAACTCTAAGCATATGATTTCAAATTAATTTTGCAATTAAGGGCCAGTAGTATTGGATAGCATTATGCTACCCAAAAAATAAGATGGGCCCAGCAATTCCCCAAGACTTGTTTCAATAAAATGGTCCAGTGTAGAATACCCTAACAGGAAGGTACCTGGAGGGCCAAAGGGCCCATGACATTGCAGGTTATTTATGTAGTAAATAACCTATGTTGGAAGGGACCTCTGGTGGTCTTCTGGTCCAGCCCCTCACTGAAAGCATGACCAAGTTAGACTAAATTGCTCAAGGATGGAGGTTGCACAACCTCTTCAAGTGCTTTGACCCCCCCACCCCCCCCATTATGTCACATTTCTACTTAACACTGAATCAGATTTTTCCCTGGTGTAACTTGTGAGCACCATCTTTCAGCTTCTTGCTGTTCACATGCAAAAAAAGTCCAGCTCCCTCTCCTCTCTACAATTTCTAACTGCATTCTATTCTGACATCTGATGACTGGTGAACAATAACCTCACTGAAGATGCGCTGTAAGATTTTCTGCCAAAGCAGGCACTAAAATTTCAGCAAGACTTTCTAATTCCTTGTTTCCTCAAGCCTTTTTTTGTGCTCGCCATAGAACTGTCAGCCTAAGCCACAGTGATAGAAAGGTTTGATCTCAGTGGCCAAAGTCCTGTTTGCCTTGCATTAAAGCTTGCCTAGAAGGAGAGCTTAGTAGTAGGGGGAAAAAAATGAGTGCTACTACAGGTGACTCATTTAATATTAGCCAGTTTGATTAAAATAACAAAAACATAATCAGTCTTTATGAAGTACCACATATGGAATCAAATGAAAAAGGAGAAGTTCTTTAGTTCCTCCCAGAAAATGCAATTTTCTTGAATAATGTGCAAACGCACAGCATGTCAAGTAACAGTCCTTAATAAAGTCCCCAGGAGATTCAATCGACCCACCTCACTACTTGATGTCATTAGATGAAAGGATGTGTAAGCTACACATATCTCAACTGGACAATAAACACACACTGACTAGTGGTCAAAAAAATGACTATACACATTCAAAGAAGAATAATTTTATGTTTGCAGGACACAGGGCAAATTATATTGGCATGCAGTATATAAAGATATATTAAGACCAAGTCCTTAGGAATTAGTTAGAAAACAAACTACAAGCAAAAAAAAACCCAATTTATGACCACCAAACTAGTTACCAGAATATCTTATTATGTAAAGGACTATTATCACGCCAATGTTTAAAATGAATAAATAATTATCAGCTTACTTCTTTCTTACCATTGTAGGTTATCCTTGGTTTTGTCAAACACATCACAAGATGTAAATCCATTTCATCAGAAGATACAAATTTTGAACATACAGGGCACTTGAATCCTATGGAAAATAAAAATGTGTAAGTGTGAGCATACTCAACCGTGTCGCAAATATATATACTCAAGCCAAAAAGCTATTCTGCACATATAAAGAAAAAAGAAATCCTGGAGGCTTTTCAGTCTTGACCTGACATTTCTTACATAAATAAGATTCCCTTGATTTCAAAAGATCTCAAAATGGACCATTGTTTCTGGAAGTCATTCTGTTGACAATTGCAAACATTGTCAGCACCTCTGGAACACAATCTTTCTCAACAACATAAGAACAGTTTAGGGCAGGAGCAGGAGGATCATATGACTCTACTAAAACAGAAATTACAAATGTGTAGAGGACAGAGCCATTAAAATTTGAACTTGAGCAGGAATCCTGAATTAACATGCTCATTTTTACTGGGAATTGTACTGAAACTTTAACCAAGTATCTTGGTTTTACATCTTGTCATACAAGCTGCAGCATCTTTTACCAGTCTGGGGCCCTGGGAAAATATTAACTCAGGGGTGTTGCCTCACCTACTGAATCACTAATACTTCCTGTAGCACTGAATTTGTTTGACTGCTCTCATCCCAGCTAAACATGACCTTGTTTAGCTTTTGAGGTCACCGCCTCAGGCAACATGGGGTAAAGAATAATTAAGACAGTCTGGATTGTGATGCAACTGCATCACAGCCTATGACAAAAGTGCTTAATACCTTAATTTATGTCATTGCCAACGACAGAAATCTTCCAGTTAAAGGACAAATCAGCTGGACAACTTTTACAATCCACAGAAAAGCCTGATTGATTTTGATCTGCTGAATAATTAACGCACAAGTGAGAGACAAAAAAAAAACACTGACAGGGATCCTTATGCATAGTAGCTGTTAAGGAGTACACCTACAGGCAGATTGTCCAACAGGACAACATTCAGCAAAAATACCTAATCTACATCCACTCTCAGCACAAAGGCACAACTTTTTCTCTGATGCTGTGAAGAGTAATGGTGCAGGCCTGTATAAAAGGTCACTGCACCTTCCACCAGCATTCCCATCTGGGCCTGCTCCCACATGTTTTAGTTTGTTGCCTCTTGCTTTTGTACTTCTAACCTTGGTAGTCCACAATAAACCGAGTCAGTCAAGGATGACAAGCAACTTGATGTTGCACTTTCAAATAACTGATGCCTGACAATTTTCATCTTTACTGTTAATTATTATCCAGATGTAGATCAAGCAACTAACCTGAAGCATTAACACTTGATACGAGTACTGCACTTTCCTTATCAAGAAAATGACGTATTTCTTATGGGCAGCTTATACGAAGCAAGTCAAAGAGGACAGCTAGTAACAGCCATAAGGAACTCAGGGCAGCAGCTGAACATGTGCTAGAAACCACTTCCTGAGACAAAGCACAGTTCTGCTTCTTCCAATTTTCAATTTTAGTCATATCTATTTCTTCTTTGTGTCAGTCTTACACTTCAGTTTAAACAGTGCTCTTCTCTCCTTGATTTTATTCCTCCTCCCCCAACCCACATTTTTACAAACAATAGCTCACTAAGCACAGCAGAACATGTATTTTGGAAAAAACTAGCTGAAAGCATTAATTTACTTGTTGAAAGCTTTATCAGTGACCTTTCAGCCACTGTGTAGCCTCCTTCACGCAGTTGTCCTGGGCTGACTTTATGATGCTGAATTGTATACCCATTTGTCTGTTTAGCCCAGAAATAAGTTTTGCACCTTTAAGACTAGTTCTGAGAGTGAAGGTGGGGAGAGAAGAAGCGCAGAGCTTGTTTTCAGAAACCGCATTCACTCCTTCACATTCCTGCTCCTGGACTGTGCTGTCTGCAGAACAGACAGCAAGAGAGAACTCTCCTTTGCTTTTAGTTAGTTTTTGGCTAGCTGAGGCAGTAAAGTTCCCTGGACTGTGTTTTTTCTTTTTCTTGGAACTGTTCAAATCTGCTCTGGACTGAAGAACCCAGCAAAACACCAGGAACTCACTCACACCTGTGTCCCACAAGGCCTGGGACATTCCAGCACCACAGGGACTGATAACAGACCGAGTGAGCTGAGCTACAGCCCACAAAGAGGACTTTCAGAATTTATCACCTCTTCAGAGCAACAAGAGGTTTTGTTGTTTACTATTGTTCATTTTTTTATGCTGGTGAATGCTTTGCCTGTTAAATAAACAGGCTTTTTTCCATTTTTCTCCTAGGAAATATTTTCCCGAACCAGTTGGGAGAGAGGCCGCTTGAATCTGCTTTCTACAGGAACCTCCTTAGAGGTTTTGCCCCAAATTTGCCCTAAACCAGACAGCAGGCTACACCTCAACATGACTAAAACCAAAATTAGTATCTCAGTCTTCCCAACACCCAAACCCACCACCCATTACTGTTCTGTTACAAGTTTCTTCCAAAACTGACCCAGGGTAAATTTTCTCTCAATCTTTATCACCCTACTGCTGCTGATTACTAGGTTTTGACTAGACTTAGGACCCATGCATTATTCTCATGTATATGCTTCTATAAGGCATAATTGACAACACAATTTGATGTGAAAAAGCCTCTAACCTCCTTATATGATTCAGACTGAGTCCTGCTGTGACAGAAGGGGGTGTTTGCATTACAGCAAGTTAACTTTTATGTTCATGGCTAGTTAAGCACTGAGACAGTCATTAACAAGTTCTCTCTGCTTTCTGGACAGAACTCTTCTAGCTTATTCCCTAGAGTCATGAGCACATGCAATTGGGAGTGACAGGGAGCAGGGACAACCACCAACAGGTCCTAGAACTATTGTTAAAGTTAACAGTGTTAAGAAGGTATGTATCCCAGGAATTCTTGGAAGAAATATTTCAATCCAAATAATATACTGGGGAGAGCCCGAGTGAATAATAATGATAATTTAATAATAATACTATTTTTACTTAAAACCATGCTTGAAGACAGACAGCTGTGAAAAATCTTTCGGGTTACCCACCTAGAGTATTCAGTTGAATATGCTTTTAACATCATGCACCTGCCCTTAAACCTAGTAAATAATCTGTGTTCTAGCAATATAGTAAGTATTTTAACAATACATTTTGTTGTGGCTTGTCCTGTGTCAGAAGGGATGTGAAGGTAATGGTTAAACAACTACAAACATCCTCCTGACACAGCAAGTCTGGGATACCTGACTGCTGTAGCTTACTCCGTGTGCAGAACTGAAGAACCCAAAGAACAGAGGACATCACACTTAAATAAGATCTAAGGAACAACTCAGCTGACCGAGGTAAAAGGTGTGTTTGTGGAAAATAAGGTTTTCCAGTGACCACAGTCAGCTGTATGCCAGAGACTAGCATAACAGCAGAAAAAGAGCCTTGGGCTCACAACACTTGCTGAAATATTCTTTAAATACAAGTGAAATCCGATTTCTCATTCCTTCACAATGTTCCACTGCAATCCAGCTCCTGGATTTAGCCATCTTCCCCAAAAGATGCATAGTGTAAGTTTTGTGCGAAGGAAATTACCATTTCCAACTTCTTTTAGTAACCCCAAAGGACAATTGTTTTGACTACAGACAAAATATTTACTTTATTCTAACTGTATTTGAAAAATAGAAATAAGCAAACAATCTACACCGTCCACAAGCCAGTTGAAGGTCCTTTTAAAAAGCTCCTATTTTCCTACCTTTCCTCAAATCAGAAGACAATAGTTTCACGACCCAGTTTACAATTAAGTACTGGGAAAGAACAAAGACTCTATTGTACCCCTGCCCAGCAGGCTAACAACATTTATAGCCTATGTTTGTTTCTACTATCTTCTCAAGGAACAACTCCAATAACTTAAAGAAAATTTCACACGGCTTTAACAATCAGCAACGGGTCAGAAATAACTTGCTCTCTACATGACTTGCTTTACTGGGTTTTGTAGATAATTCACAGACATTTGGACAAAAAAGTGGAAGCAGTTATCAGATGAGGTAACATCACATGAAGTGTCTTCCAAAAACCTATGAAACTCAATCAACTACTTTCTCACTCTCTTTACAAGGGGAGCACAACAGATAACATATGGTTCTAGGTAAAATTCCAGCTCTTAGGAAGGTGTTGATTTTACAGCATCCCTTATTTTTGTCCCAGATAACACCCACCACCTTTGTATTAGCGTTGTCACTGTCAGCACATCACTGCAAAGTCCTTCCTTCTCCCATAGTAGAGAACTCAGGCTGTGACACACCCTAAATCAACTGAAGGACCACCTCTCACCCCATTTCCTACATACAGAAGTACAGCACTAAAGAACTGAGCACCAAAACCAAGCAAGCACACACCTCTAGCTGACTTTTGCAACTGCATTCTTAGGAGGGCAGGGAACCAAATTCTTACAAGCTCCCACCATCTAGTTTCACAACCCTGACTACAATACTGAAAGTAACACATTACTTAAAACAAAACCAAAATCCTGGGAAAAAATCACAATTACAAGAAACAGAGAATGAACAGAAAGTTGCAGTACAGCTATTAGAAAATCCCAAGGTGACAGAGAAAATCTGAAATAACTAAACCTGCTTAAGTATCAGGACTTATATCAGAGGTGAATTCTGTCTCATTCTCTCTTGAATGTATCACTTTCTTCAAGCTCTGCCATCTTTTGCAAGTGAACCTCCAGTTAGCAAAAAAATCCCATCTTCTCCCACATCCATCTACCAAACTCACACTTTCCCTCTCTGGCAGACTTGGGAACTATCCTCAGGGGCAGGTTGATGGGTGGCCACTCATTCTATTAGCACCAATTTCAACCTCTTAGGGATGCCTTACTGTGTTTGCCTTGCTTTGCAAACATCAGACTGCTTATGTTTGCACTTCAGTGCAGAGCAGAGAAAACATAAACATCCAATGAAAAACAAACTCCTGGATTGCTAAGATTTTCACAAAATCATGCCGTCACTTATTCTGGAATATCTACTTTGTGGTACAAAAAAAAAAACCAAACCTGCTAAGAGCTTCCAGACAACACAGTGCAGAGTGTCACAGATTTGCACATAAAGAAACAT